GTCCCTTTTGGGCTCTGATATCCCATGCCAGACTTCCCCTCTGCCTGGATGTCCTTATCACCTTTCCTGGGCCTTGAACTCCATGACAGCCGTTCTCAGGCATGAATATTCTTCTTTACTCTTTTAAACTCCAATACTCTGGGTGAGACTTGCCTCTTGACTCCTTTAATAATGTGTTTTGATGAATAGAAATTCGTAATTCTAAATGTAGTACATTTTTATCAAACTTTTATGATTAATGCCTTTTTGTGTTCATCTAAGAAATTTTTTCCTAACTTGATCTAGATGAAGATATTCCATTGTTATCTTTTTGACTTTTTATTTTTTGCCTATGATGAACACAGAATTGACTTTTTAAAAATGGAGTCTTACTTAAGGATTTTGTTTTGTTTCCATGTGAATATCCAGATGTTCCAACATTACATATTGAAAAAAACTTTCCTTTCCCCACTGGTATACATTGCTTCTTTTTGTTGAAATACCGTTTTCCATGTGTGCATGGGTCTGTTTGGAGGTTTTCTATTCTGTTTAGTTGTTTTGTCTCCCATTGCCACTAGAACCACAGTGTTTTAATTAGCTCTGCTCTGTTTAACTTGCTTAATAGTGACTGAGCTACTTACAGCTGTGGGCTTACAGATTTTATCAAGTTTGGGAAAATTTTGGCCATTATTTTCGCAAATATTTTTTCTGTCTCACTTACTATCCCTTTACCCCCTAACCGCTTTCTCAGACTCAAGTTACACATGTGTAATCTACTTGATGTTGTCCCAGAGGTAACTGGTATTCTATTTGTTTTTTCCCCCAGTCTGTTTTTGCTTTTGTTTTTCAGGTGTGCCTCATTTTGTATAGTTTTTATGCTATGTCTTTAAGTTCACTGACCAATTTTTTTCTATACTGTTCTGTCTAACTTTAATCCCATCCTATCTGGCTTCCTTCTACAAAATTGTTTTGAGATTTATCCATGATGCATTCCTTCTTATTGCTGAGTAGTATTCCATTGTATGGATATATGACAATTTATCTGTTCATCTGTTCATGGACATTTGGTTTGTTTTCAATTTTTGTCTGTTATAAATAAAGCTGCATTATTAAATTATTTGCCATCAATTTGTATAATTGAGTGATTTTTTAAAAGAAACTTACAGAGTTGTGGAACCATCACTAAAATCTGATTTTTGAAACATTTTCATCATCCTGAAATGATCACTTATACCCACTTACAGTCATTTCCCATTCCCCTGCCAGCCCAGGCAACCACTACTGTGCTTTCTGTCTCTATTGATTTGCCTTTTCTGGACATTTCAGGTAAATGGAATCATAAGTATGTTGACTTTTGGATCTGATCTCCTTCCCTTAGCATATTGTTTTTAAACTTTATGCACATTGTACATGTTTAGTACTTCATTTCTTTTTAGTGCTGAAGAGCATAGCATATTATATGGTGTGATTTAAACAGGAATATATTTGGTCTTTGTCCCCAGTTCTTAGCACAGAGCTTCAAAAGCTCTAGAATTCCCTGAGTGATAAGGTTGTCTTTGTTACGCTAATAAGGCAACTCCTGGCAGCCTTTTGATAACTGTGGGAGGGGGACTGATCACCAGAAAGAATGAACACATGATTAGAGGATTGGGGCTTTCATGCTTCCAACCTTCAGGGACTGGAAGGGGACTGGAAATTGAGTTTAATCATATGGCCAGTGATTTAATTAATCATGCCTATATAATGAGACCCTAATAAAAACTGGAGATTGACACTGAGTGGCGCTTCTTGGTTGGTGAACACTTGATGTACTGGGAGGGTCATGCACCTTGATTCCACAAGAAGGTGCAGAAGCTCTCTTTCCTCCCAGACCTCACCCTGTCTGTATCCTTTACAATAAAACTGTGATCATATGTGTAGTGCTTTCCTGAGTTCTATGGATCATCCTAGTGAATTATTGAAACCAAGTGGGTCATGGGAACACCTAAATTTGTAGTTAGTTAATCAGAAATGCTGGTGGCATGGGGACTCCCAAAGTGCCAAAGTGAGGGCAGTCTTGGGGGATCTGATGCTAACTCTAGGTGCTTAACATTAGAATTATATTCTAGTATCCCCAGTTGGGGTGGAAACAGAGAATATGGATATACCTCATTTTGTTTGCCCACTTACCTACCAATTGGTGGACATTTGAATTGTTTACACTGGGGCTGCTATAAATAATGAATAATGTTGCTATGACACTTGCATACAAGTCTTTTGTGGGCATACTTCGTTTCTCTTGGGTAGATACCTGGGAGTGGAATCCTTAGTTATTTGTTAAATTTATGTTTAACTTTCTAAGAAATTGCCAAATATTTCCCAAAGTATCTGTGCCATTTTACATTCTCATCAGCGTATATGAGGTTCTAGTTTCTCCACATTCTTGCCAGCACTTGATAGTTTCTGTCCTTTTTATTATAGCCATTCTGGTGGGTATAAAATAGTGTCTCATTGTGGTTTTAATTTGCATTTTCCTAGTGTCTAGTGATAGTGAAGGTCTTTTCATGTTCTTATTGACCACTCATATATCTTGTTTGGTGAAATGTCTGTTCAGGTTTTTGCCCTTTAAAAAAATGTTATTCATCTTATTGAGTTGTAGGGGTCCTTTATATAGTCTAGATACTTTGTCACATATACCGCTTGTTAATATTTCTTCCCAATCTGTGATTTGTCTTTTAATTTTTTTAATAGTCTCTTTTAAAGCCAGAAAATTTTTATTCTGATGAAATTTTTTGTGTCAGTTTAATTTTTGAGTATGCTGTGAAGTAAAGGTATAAAAATGTTCATTTTTTTGCCTGTGAATATTCAGTTGTTCAAGCAGCATTGGTTGAAAAGATTTTTCTTTCTCTCAGTAAATTGCTCTGGCACCATTGTTTTCAGAAAAAAGTCTATTGGCTGTAAATATAAGGGTTATTTCTCGGCTTCAATTCTGTTCCATTGATCTGTATGTCTATCCCTATAGTATACCAATACTGCCTTGATAACAGCTGTTTTGTAGTGGGTTTTGAAATTGGGAAATATCCTGCTTTGTTCCATTTCAAGATTGTTTTGGCTCTTTTGGATTCTTTGCATTTCCATGTAAATTTTTGGATTAGTTTGTTGATTTCTGGGAAAAACTTGCTGGGATTTAGTTTGCATTGATTCTACTGATCAATTGGAGAATTGCAGTCTTTATAACAATTGTCTTTCTGTCTAGGAACATGGGTGTCTCTCCATTTATATATACTTTTCCTTTTATCATTTATTGTTGGTAGCATTACACACACACACACACACACACACACACTTTCTCAATTTGGTAACCAGCTTTATATTACATTTTCATCCCTTCGTTGCGTCTCACTACTTTCCATTTTAAAATTATTCTGATTTTGGCTTGACTCTCCAAGTATTTAATTTTGTGTCAGTAATTGTATTTAATAAGTTTTTCTAGATTCTTTGCCTCTTTTTCATGTCTCACATAATCCTCTTACTTGGATTTGTTTATTTTTGTCTTAACTGTATACTTAAACAATTCTTACAGAAGTGGTTTGTTACAAGATTTCTAAGAATTTGCATGATGTAATACTTGTTTATTTTAGCCATATTACTAGTTTTTTAGACTGCTATAGTCTAGGATCAAAATTATTTTCCCTCAAAACTTTGAAGATATAACTGCTGTTTTGTTGTGTTGGTTGAGAAGTTTGTTGACAATGTGATTTATTTTATGTTTTTGTACATAAAATAGCTTTTGTCTTTGGAAACTTTTAGGATTTTTCTGTTGGATTTCTGAGAGTTTAGAACTGACTGTCTTAGTTTCCCTCTGTTTCATTTGAGATCCTTTCAATCTTAGATTTTTTTTACTTCATTCATTTCTAGAATTTTTAATTTACTATTTCTTTCATTTTTTTTCCTTCTGCTTTATGTTTTTTTCCAGACTGCTTTCGATAGATGTTGGAGCTTTGCTAATTTTGCTGTTTTTCATCTATGAATCCTCTGATATGTTCAAGGAAAGTTAGTTTGCTCAATTTTCTAGCCCAGTGATTGTTTGTCTCTTACCAGTCATATTTAATTACAAAGCTTCAGATTTTTTCTGTATCAGCCTGTTGTTTAACTGATGTGACTTGTTACTGTTTTGAGGGTATTGATTCATGTATGTAAAGCTGTTCTTGCTTTGTCCTATTTAAGCATTTCCTTGGCTGTTAATTTTCTGTTTCTTGAATTGCTTTGCCTCTATTTCATGGTACTGATTTTTCTGAAATGTTGATTCTTGGTTTTCTATCTCTTTCTTGTTTGTTTGTGGAAATCTTTTCTGTTGGCATTGTTTCCTTTTAGGAGGGGTGGGTCATGTTGATGGGTGAAATGTACAGATACCTTTCCTTCTGAATTTGTGGTTTCTCTGGTCTCTCAGGTGTTAGTAGCAACCTAGCTTGCTGTCTTATTTCTCTGGTCCCAATGGCATTGCTTTAGTCTGGGTTCAGGTAACACTGCTACTTACTGCTTATTATAAGCAGGATGGTGGGGAAGGGAAGAGAGAAGGCCCTGTTCCTGTACCTATTGATGCTGGTATCTTAGTTGCCTCCTCAGTTCTCTTCTGTGAGAGTTGTGTGCAATAATTTGTTATGTTTTCAGAAAGTTGGGCTTTTTTTTTTTTATTATGGACTCTTTTGTCATTCTTGTACCTTTTATGTTCCTCATTCAATTTCTCTTTTAAAATATTTCTACTTAAATAGATTCCTATATTCTCCAAGAGGAGAAATGACTCATTTTATGTCTATTTTGTTAGTAAGCATGAAGAAGATACCCGTATAAAAGTTTTGCCTGATAACTGGTTTTCCACTAACGATGTCCAAATCTAAAAATCAAAGATTTCATAAAGTGCAACTCTGTTTTGGTTAGACAATAATTTGTCTTTTTCAGTAGTAACAATTTTTGGGTTTTGTTCTATTTATGATTTGGCTTTCTTTCTTTTTAAATTTTTTTCTTCTTGTTTTGTTTTCCAGCTCTTTTGTGCCTTTCAAGATGATAAATATCTGTACATGGTAATGGAGTACATGCCTGGTGGAGACCTTGTAAACCTTATGAGTAACTATGATGTACCTGAAAAGTGGGCCAAATTTTATACTGCTGAAGTGGTTCTTGCTTTGGATGCCATACACTCCATGGGTTTAATTCACAGAGATGTGAAGCCTGACAATATGCTCTTGGATAAACACGGACATCTAAAATTAGCAGATTTTGGCACATGTATGAAGATGGATGAAGTAAGTAACAAGCAAGTGAAAAAGAATGCTAGTGTTTTGAGGGACAAAAATAAAAGGAACACTTCCAATCTGGACTTTATAGTTTTAAACAAAGATAAATTTAGTTTTGCTAACTGTGTAATGACTCAAACAAGTAGTAAAATATCCAAATTAAAACATTTCCTTTACTAATCATTCATCTACTGTAGATTGCTTTATTTGTAGATTTGTTAAATCCAAGAGAAATCAGAAAGAACTCAGATGACTTAAATAATTATCTTCCTCATCTTGACAAGCATTTGCTACCAGTCAAAACTAGTTTATGATTTTAATGATCTAGGTGAAGAAGTAGGACACGAAATATAAATTAAGGTCCATGGGTATTTCCATTACCATTATCATTTCTGTATTTTTCCTTTGAAAAGAGAGATAAGGTATAAATTTCCCAACTCCTACCAACCCCATCTGCATCAGCCATATAGAATAAATTTGAAGGCATTATCTGTTGTGGTGTTTTTACCTGTTGAACAATTCATGCTATGATTAATAGATTCAGTAGCATTAACCTCTTAGCTAATTATGATGTTGATTTTGTTACAAAATTTATATCTCTTGTCTTTTCTTCTGTAAGTGTACTTAATTCCTGGCAGTAATTCCTGATGGAGATGGCTCATGTTTTATTTCCTATGTATTCTTATTAGTTATCTTGTTAAGATGTTTATTTTGAATTAAACTGATTTTCTTTTCTCTTTACTTCTTAATTTATGCCATCTGTATGATACTCACTTTCATTGATTGTCCTGCCATCATCAGCGATCTGTATGCTTACAAGCTTAGCTCAGATTTTTACCTCGTATGGAAAGTTCTCCCTGATAATCTAACTTGACCAATCACTCTTCTGTCATAATGTCTGCAATGGCCTTAGTTATCTAGAATTTGTGCTGTACTTCACAAGCCACTTTCATCTGTCTAGGTTTGTATGTCCCGTCTACCCAGCTAAAACTTAGCATCCTTTTGGTTCTTTGGCCTTTTTCACAGGGTGTTATTATGTCTGTTCTTCATACATTAATCAATGTTTAGTGGTTGGAGTATCTGTACTCAAAGCTCCCTCTTGTGGTGTTTATCGTAATATGAAGTGATTAACAGTGAAAATTATCTTTAATAAATATGAAATTAAAAAAAATATGAAATATGAGGTAATTTTCTAATACAATGCTAAACTTTTTTATCTCTGTTGTACATAATCAATGATGTTTATATGCTCACTTCCATGAGTGTATTCTAATTTTAATCAAATCGAAAACCTTTAGGAGGGTGCAGAGAAATCATACCACTTGTTTATAAGGTGAGTAAAAGTGATTTATGGAAAGAAAGGTGTAGAGTGTGAGAGCAGAAGAGTAGGTTAGAATATGGGATTTACAGAATAGTTCTACAAGCACATAAGCGAATATTAAATTCAGCTATTTAAATATCTGAAATTGTCTCTTAATAATAAATAAAATATAGCATATATAATTTTGTTTACTATTTTTAATTCAAGTACACATGGTTGAGTTAATTATGCTCTTTGGCTCATAGCTTATTGTCATTAGTAGTTTACACAAAGGCCCCAATTTTTTCAAAATTACATTTTCTCCCTTTCAGTTTCTGTCTTAATCTCTGTCCCTAATACACAGCTACTGTAATGTGGTTACTGTAAGCTCTTGCAGACTGTTAGTATAGTTTACATATGTATAAATAGTATAGTGGATGGTTGTCACTTTGTTTACCTTTTTGACTCAACGCTGTTTTATAGCTCTTCCTGATATATGTAAAAGTAGCTTACTGCTGTTTAGTGTTCTATAGTATCTATTAATTTTATTTACTATTTTTCCTTGTCTTGGATCCCTAAGTCGCACTCATCTCTCTGTTACCAGCAAGTACCATGCTGAACATCTTCATACATGTCTCGTGTCTATTCTTTTTTTTCCTCTCATGCCTATTCTGACAAGGGTTTCCTCTACATATAAACCCTAGAAGTGAAAATGTTGATTTAACTTTTGCTAATAGTGCATGAGAGATCCTGTCTCCCCCTGTCCTCACTCACCCTTCCTTTTATTCACTCTCTAAATCTTACCAGTTTCATTGGTGTAAGTTAGTAGCTTTTAAACTTTGTATTCATCCTGATAGTTGATGTTAAACCTTTCTCCATATACTTGTTGGTCTTTTTTGTGAACTTACCTGTGTTGTGTATCTTTTGACTTTTTTAAAATTGGCTTCTTGTTGATGTGCAGGGATTCCTTATATAATCTGGGTGGTGATTCCACAGATAATCACTGATAATCATCTTCCAGTCTGCTACCCATCAGTGTCTTTGAACAGAATTCCTTAATTTTGATAGTAAAATATGTATTTTAAATACGGAACTTCAAAAATGTTTTACCTCAAACCTCCATTCTTCAAGTAATATTAATAATGAGATCAGTTACATAATGTTGAAGAACAGGGGAGTTTTTTTATTAAAACTGAAGAATGTAATTTATGATTTTGTTATGTTGTTAATGTGAATAGTGTTATTGCAAGTTTCAGGTTCATCACTTTGTTTGCCTTTGTTTGATAATTATGGCCTCAGTGCCATTAGAAACATTCATAGTTTCATTCTTCCTCATCTTTATATCTGTAGAAGGGATTGGCAAACTGGAGCACAGGGCCAAATCTGGCCTGTGGCTTGGTATTATATGCTTCCTGTGCTAAAAATGTTTTTTTCCATTTTTAAAAGACTGTTTTTAAAAAAAGAAGATATGCAGCAGACACCCTATGTGTCCCACAAAACCTAAAATATTTACTGCCTAGCTCTTTACAGAAAAAAATTTGCTAACCCTTTATCTATAATAAAGACAAAAATGCTTCAATTATTTTTTAGCTTTTCTGGCTTCCTATAAAACATTATGTCATGGATAAAAACAAAAATGAAATGTAGCTATAAAACTATAACCTATAAGGACCGAAATGGTTACTATCACAAATAAGAGTAGTGTTTCATTAAGTTCTATCATGGATAGATTGTAGATTACACAGTTTTCTAGATACTGTTATTTTTTCTCTCCCTGAAAAAAATATCTGGGTGTGAGTGAAAGTCACAGTATATTTACATGTAGATTACCTCAGTGACAGCCAAGAAGTACTACTTTAAATTACTTGCATTAATTACGCAAGTTGACTTCCCACTTTGCCAACCATTATGCATTTCATAGCAACCTTTACCACCTTTTAAGGGATGTTTTATGTTAGTATTTTAAATTACTGAAAATAGTATACGATTTTATCCATTAATATTCTGGTGTATACCATTTGATTAAATAGTGGCTGTAAATTTTTAAAGCTAATAGGTAAAATGTTACTGTTCTTAACCTTTCTACAAGTGACATCAGTTTTTAAAATATAGGTGTTTCTACTGATGTCTCTGAAAAACCCTATTTTCTGCAAAATAATACATTTAAAAGAGCATGTTTATGGGAGCAGTAGAGACAGATCATTCAAAAGCTATGCAGCTTTGTAACCAGAGCTCTGATGAAAATAATAATTGGTACCCAGGGAATTGTTGGAATAACAGGCAGCTTTGTGCCTGTTGGTACCACAAAATGCTGGTGGAAATGGGTTTCTAAGCCATTTGGGCTGTCTTTTTAGATAGAACACAAGAAGCAGAACCTTCCACTAGCCAGGAATCTTACAAAGCAAGGAGGGAATGTGCCTCTCTGAGAAAGGGCCCCCTGGTACAGGTGCTCATTTTTAATTGTTAAAATGGATTGAACAGGCTCCTGCCTGTATAGCAGTCAAGCTGAAGCTTTCAGTGCTTCTGATAATTAAGAATTCCATTTACAGTTTTTCTTTTCCACCCTCACAAGAGGCATTTTGAATAGTTTCTTAGATCAACTCCAAGATTTATGATTGACCAATTTTGTGTTTTCAGTATATCTTTTGATATATGATATTTTATCAGTTATTAAACACTGGCTATACTTAGCAAGCACACAGTATCTGATCCATTTAAGATAAAGTACTTTTGAGGAAGCTTTTGAAAATGCATACCCGTTTATGTTGCTTTCCAGCTTAAAACCCTTCAGTAGATTTCTGTCACCTACTGAATAAAGTTCAAATTCCTTAGCTAGTCTTATGAAGTTTCTTATGACCCCTATCTACTTCTCAACCTCATTCTATCATTTGACCATTTGTTCAGAGGTCTTAAGTTACATATGGTTCTTTTTATATCATGGTAACTCATGATTCCTAGCCTTCATATATGCTGTCAAATATAGTCTGATTAGCAAATTCCTACTCACACTCTGAAACTCAGCCTGAAGTTTGCTTATCTTGTGAAAACTTTTTAGGTTGGCTCCTATCCTTTTGACATGTATCTTTTTTGGAGCCTGCCTGCCTTCCATTCTGCCTTCCTCCCCTTCCTCCCTGCCTGCCTGCCTTCCATTCTGCCTTCCTCCCTTCCCTCCTTTCTCTTTGTCACCATGAGTTGTTGAACACTTACATCTTCTCTCTCCCAGCCTGGAATCAAGCACTTCTGCAAGAAGCTCTAATTCCTTTTATTCAAGAGTGGTATTTAAAAAAATCAATATTTGCTCCCATTTATCATCACATTGAAAAGAATAAAATATCTAGGAATAAACCTACCTAGGGAAGTAGAAGACTTGTACTCCAAAAACTGTAAGACACTGATAAAAGAAATCGAAAGCAACACAAACAGATGGAAAGATATACCATGTTTTCAGATTGGAAGAATCAATATTGTTAAAATGGCCATACTACCCAAGGCAATCTACAGATTCAGTATAATCCCTATCAAATTACCAATGGCATTTTTTCACAGAATTGGAACAAAAAAATTTAAAATTTTAAAGACCCTGAATAGCTAAAGCAATCTTGAGAAAAAACAGAGCTGAAAGAATCAGGCTCCCTGACTTCAGACTATACCACAAAGCTGTAGTAATCAAAACAGTATGGCCCTGGCACAAAAACAGACACATAGATCAATGGAACAGGATAGAAAGTCCAGAAGTAAAGCCACACACTTACGGTCAAATTAATTTATGACAAAGCAGGCAAGAATATACAGTGGAGGAAAAGACAGTCTCTTCAATAAGTGGTGCTGGAAAAACTAGGACAGCTAC